ACTAAACTATAACTAATTATGGACTAATATAGGAAAGAGAAGAATAATACGAATAAGGATAAGAATAAGGGATGTACCAGTCATTCAGATGTGGATTGGTTGGCAACAATTGACACTATGATTGAATTCAAGATGGTCGGTTGGAATTGTTCAATCAGTTTGCATTGGCGAATATTTGATATCTTCATTGAAACTATCATTAAGGGCCTTACATGTGGCGAAACATTCTCTCACTTGCTTATTCACACGGATTAATCAGGTAGCTATATCCCAGTGCTGCACATGTTTCCTTACACGTGGCTGTGGATTCAGCATACATCACACATGGAGAAAGTCTTATTTACTTGCCAATTCCCAGTATCCTCACTAACTTGTAACTTCTCATTATTGGCTTTAAAAGGCAGACTAAAGAGATAAAACAGGGTAGTTGTTCCTGTTTTATCTCTTTAGTCTGCCTGATTGAGATTGAGGAGTTGAGATCACTCCTCAATCTGTTCGAGCTCCTTGATCTGACATCTAATCTCGTCAACCACCCAAAAACAACTGGATTTACACTCTCTCTGGCCTTGGGCTCTCTCACAAGGACTTTTCCAAATTGGTATGCTATGAGTCCTTCTTCAGTTTCAGTTTTGATAAATAAGCATACAGACAAAATAAAGGGGTATCTACGGGAAGCCTGATATCAGGAATATTATGTGAACTATCATGGTTCTATGCAATTTAGAGAAACACATTATTAATGGTTCAGAATGAATATTTTATTTTACAAAAGATATGTGGACAATGTGTGCATTATTTGGAAATACGGCAAGAGAATACACGAGTTCGTACAAGTAATCAACAACAGCAACAATAATGGATTAAAACTTAAACTAGAACAAAAAAGTCATGAATGGATACATTTTCTGGATATAGATATCCAATTGAAAGGAGATTGTATAACAACAGGTATTTACATAAAACCAACACATAGTCCACTTTACATTCCAGCTAACTCAAACGACCCACACGGATACAAACTGTCTGCTTTTCGTACACTCATTTGAAGAGCATATTCATATTGCTCTAATGTACTAGACAGAATGAAAGAGATTAATAGAATCAAAGAAATAGCTTCAAACTTGGGATATAAAAAGAGTACAATGGAAGGACTAATTAAAAGATATGAAAAAGAAAAAATTAAGAACCCAAACAAATCAGTTTAGAATTGCCAAGTTCACTTATTAACAAAGGGCACTACAACATAGTTTTGTCAAGTATGGCACAAGCAGAGGACTCTGTACTTAAATGGAGTGAAGCAACTATCCTTGGGACCATGCGTTTCCCATCATTAGTATTGCACAAAGAAAAAATTGAAATCTATAAAAGTAAATTAAAGGATGATTGTATTAATACCAGGGATGCAAATGGACTAGCTTCTGCATGGAAATTCTACATAAAAGAAAAATTAAAATATAAAAATTCTTAGACCATAACTGCCCTTATATTTTGATGCATTTTTAGATATTTTATTTTATTTATTATATTATATATGTCGTTGTTGCTTCAGTGTATTTAGTATATTTTATTTTGTTATTTATTTGTTAATTTATCTATTGTTTTTATTTTAAATTTGAATGTATAATATTCGGACATTCCATCGCTAGAATTTAAAATTTTAAAATACATTCAAATTCAATTACAACTGAAGATGGCCTATTCTATTAGGCTGAAAAAGTTAGTGCTTTGTTAAATAAACATTTCTCAGTGATAGAAGGTGTTTGATGTTTCATTAAGTGATAAAAATCAGTTTGCTTTTATTTGTGAAAGAATAGATCTAATGCTTATTTTTAAATTGCAAAATTCCTGGCACCATATTGTGAAGATATGATTTTTACAATATGCGTGTGTGATTAATGCTACAGATGCACTTGAGTTAGACAAAATGTGCACTTTATGATAAGAAATAAGAAAGTTTTCTTTTACTACACATACAATCAATAATTTTGAATACTTGAACATACATACTCATCCTTATTTACTTCATTACTATTTAACCATTACTTATATGTTAATAACTAGCAGATAAGCCCAGCGTTGCTTGGTACTTGGGCAAAAAGTAACAATAGCAAAGATTAAGATTATTACATTATAGCCAATCTTACCCGTTTTCACAGAATGCAAGAAATAGGTTCCCCTGTACCTGACTAATTAGAAAATTTTTAGATGGGTCTAAAATTATGTTCGATTTAACACAAAAAACTGCATCTGCACCTGTAAATCTTGCACTTTGCTTTCTCTCAACACTTCCATTCTTAACACTTCCACTGATGAAGCCTTAATCCTGTCCCTTTCCCCTCGGGGGGGGGGGGGGGTAAAATCCCTTGTTAGTGTGCGTTCTCATGACATACCCTAACTGTGTACCAAATTTCAAGGTTCAACTCCTAACCATGCTGAAATGCTCACAATGAAATGTTCATACACATGCGCACCATCTATAGTAGGATAAATGTACAATACCAGAAACCTTTGCGGGAGTGTATTAAACAACTTCCCAAAGTTTCAAGGCAATCGGATAAATGGTGTAGTAATGCATGAAGGACAGACAGACACACAGACATACATTCATTTTTATATATATAGATTAAATTATTGTTTGATAACTATAAAATCTTGATTTAACAGGCTAATTCAGGCAAGTAGTGTCCGTTAAAGTAAAAAGTCCCTTATATAATAAAATAGGTTTTCTGAATGCACGTGTTAAAAAATTGACAAATTAGTTCGTTTATTTGTTTTTACTTATATATATACATTAATGTAATTAAAATTAAGTGTGTATGAGAATTTCAAATTCATAGAACAGTTTTTTTATGTACATTATTGCTTATGTAATCATCATAGTTCTGAGACCATAATACACAAGTATACAATCTGAATCAAAATAAACAAACATATTTTGGAAAATACACTTTAATTGTATTTAACTAAACAATGTTCTCAAGAGTGGTGACTCTTGGGGATTTAAAAAAACAAAACACCCTCCTCTTACTTTAATTAAATATAAAAAGCATTTAAAAATAAATAGGGTGTTAATTTTCATATACGACATACAGCTTGATAATTTTGTTTGTTAAATCTGAACTCCATTAAATCAATATTTTATTGTATTTGAATCAATATTCCATTTTAAGAATTTTCTGTAACTGAAGCTGGCTTAAAATGACTGAAAATGTTTTTTACCAGAGCTGTCAGCCTGCGATTCTGAAAAAAGTTGATATCAAAGAAAAAATAAATAATTGACAACCAAAATTTTAATTGAAATGTAGTGATTTTGACAATTTTGATAGAATTTTCTATTGCAAGATGTACAGAAATAGTAAAATAAATTGTTAAATATAAGATTATTTATCACATCATTTTTGTATTTTACATCAGTTTCCATTTGTTATACTAACACAATAGAATAGGAATATCCAAACATAGGGTTAAAATCCAAAGTGGGATTACAAATTATTCTTATATGGCTGTGTAAACACTTTCATAAATATTACTCCTCTGTTTAAAAAAAAATCTTCAAAAGTATAGACGATGTTCAATTGAAGAAGATTGACAATGAACAACAACAACAACTACAAAAATTAATAGATTTATATATATGAAAAAAACAAATTATCCAAAAAAACAATAATTGTAAAGAAAAGGAAATATGCTGCAGAATTTTTAAAACATGGATATCCATAAAAGGAAGTTAATGGTGAGCATATTTCTTTTTGTGTAATTTGTAGCAAAACTTGTCAGGTTTCAAAGACAAAACAAATTTCAAGATATTAAGAATACTGTATTTGGAAATGAATCATTCAAAGTACATCAAAAAACAATTATATTTTTTGAAAGAAATCTATCTAACTAAAGTAAAATCTCATTAAATCAAATTGCATTAACTCAAAGCTATCTACAGCTCCAAGGCACAGGAATATAAGACTTTTCATATAATGAAATCTCATTACATTGAAATTGTCAGTATTTTTAACTCAACCCTATTTTCCCATGCACCCTCCACTCTTTGATGTGTCTATTGTTTTCATTTTCTCTTATGATTCCTTTGAATAGGACAACAGATAATTAAAATAAATATGATGGCTCTACACTTAACACAACATGCCATTACAACCTTGCATTAACATCCTTTTACTGATGGTGTGTTTTCACCATTCTGAATGGGACATGAAAAGACATCTTGACAATACACACAAAAGCAATGAATTTCCTTTTGTGTAATTTGTAGCAAAACTTTCCAGGAAGAATCTTGTCACAGAATTGTCCAAAAGCAATCAAATAAAAATAATTAAGCTACTTTTTCATTACAGCTTATGTGCTATATTAACATCAAAGAAAAACCTTTTGTTTTTTGGTAGCTAGACAAAATGGAAAAATAGTTAAATTCCTATCTTGACAATAGAAGAATTATAATTTTTTTATGGCCAAATGAAAAACCAAACTAGCTAAATTGGCAACTTTGGCTATCCTACAAACAACAGCTTGCCAACAGCTAATTCAGTCACATCATCTGGCATTTCATATTGGATAATGCTGTTTATTTTGTACTTAATAATTATTGTAATGATAATATATACAATAATATACATGTTATTGTCATGTCAATTTTTTTTTATTTGATTGTACAGAAAAATACAAAAATTTGTTTCAATAATAAAATTTTTTCAAAGTTTAACTCTTTAAACAAGAAATCAGCCAAAAGTTTAATCCATTTGAGACGAAGTCAGCCAAAGGAAAAGTTGTTTGACTGGTTTTGCTATACAAATTCCCTTGTAGATTAAGGAGTAAAAACAATTTCATGTTCAGGTAGAGGAAAAAAGTAATATTCAGAGCTTAAAGAGTTAAAATGAAACAATTCTCTTATATTTGAATAGTGTTTTTAACTAATTTTAATTTAATAGTTGTTTTAACTGTAATGTCATATGGACATAGATGAATTTATTATTTCCATCAGTCCAGATTACCTGAAATAAATGCTGGACATCGTAACACGGATAGCCATTTACAAAAGCCACAACCTGCTTAAATAAAATTTAAAAACAACATAAAATAAAAACATTTATTAATAAATAAATTATAAAATAAAATACATTTTGTTGAAACAACAGTAAATAAATAAATAAAAAAAAAACAAATTTAATCTGATATTTAATGAGTGTTGTCAAATGTGATTAAATGAAAAGTTATTAAAACAGATTTTAAAACAATAGCATTAATTAATAAGTGAAAAGCTAAATTAATAAAAATTATTTATCAAATAAATTTTGTTTTTTTTAAGTAAGTTATAAATAAAGTTTATTAAGTTTCTTATAAGAACTGATTAATCCAAAACAATGCTTTTCTTATCAAATTGCTGTTCAATAGCAATAGATAACAATTGCTAAGTTCAGTTGTAACATGTGTCAGGTGTGTGGATGTCAGCAAGTGGTGATGGACAGTCCACAGCTTTGTCACACATGTTAGGTGGGTGAGGTAACAGTATCCCCAAGAATGTGGGGGAGATTGTCCTGCCTAGAGAGGGAGAAATGGTGAGAGAAAGAAAATTTGTGCGCTTCCTTTTGGGTGTGTAGAGTCAGAGTTGTGTGTGGAGGCAGTACTGAGAGGAGTGCTGACCGCAGTACTAACTGGGGAGCTAACCAGAGTGGGTAGCTGTGTGGCTGGTCAAGAACCAGTATTGTAATTACCAATAATTGTCGGGTGCCGGAGTGTTGCTCGATTGTGGAGTGCCAGAGAGTCACTCGCAGATTCGGAGATATTAAAGTGTCATTGTATTGTTATTGTTAAAAAGGAAGTGTGTGCTGTGTTCCTTTAGACCGCGTAAACGGGAATATTTCATACCACCATCATCACATCATTTTGTATACAATAACAATTTATGAAATAAAGGTGTTTGACAAGGAAAGTATTGTTTTAGACTATTGGTTCTTATAGGAAACTTAGTAAATAACACAATATTTATGATAGTCACTCTTGGAACTGTAAAGATCATGATATGAATTTCAAAATAAACAAACATATTTTGGAAAATACACTTTAATTGTATTTAACTAAACAATGTTCTCAAGAGTGGTGACTCTTGGGGATTTAAAAAAACAAAACACCCTCCTCTTACTTTAATTAAATATAAAAAGCATTTAAAAATAAATAGGGTGTTAATTTTCATATACGACATACAGCTTGATAATTTTGTTTGTTAAATCTGAACTCCATTAAATCAATATTTTATTGTATTTGAATCAATATTCCATTTTAAGAATTTTCTGTAACTGAAGCTGGCTTAAAATGACTGAAAATGTTTTTTACCAGAGCTGTCAGCCTGCGATTCTGAAAAAAGTTGATATCAAAGAAAAAATAAATAATTGACAACCAAAATTTTAATTGAAATGTAGTGATTTTGACAATTTTGATAGAATTTTCTATTGCAAGATGTACAGAAATAGTAAAATAAATTGTTAAATATAAGATTATTTATCACATCATTTTTGTATTTTACATCAGTTTCCATTTGTTATACTAACACAATAGAATAGGAATATCCAAACATAGGGTTAAAATCCAAAGTGGGATTACAAATTATTCTTATATGGCTGTGTAAACACTTTCATAAATATTACTCCTCTGTTTAAAAAAAAATCTTCAAAAGTATAGACGATGTTCAATTGAAGAAGATTGACAATGAACAACAACAACAACTACAAAAATTAATAGATTTATATATATGAAAAAAACAAATTATCCAAAAAAACAATAATTGTAAAGAAAAGGAAATATGCTGCAGAATTTTTAAAACATGGATATCCATAAAAGGAAGTTAATGGTGAGCATATTTCTTTTTGTGTAATTTGTAGCAAAACTTGTCAGGTTTCAAAGACAAAACAAATTTCAAGATATTAAGAATACTGTATTTGGAAATGAATCATTCAAAGTACATCAAAAAACAATTATATTTTTTGAAAGAAATCTATCTAACTAAAGTAAAATCTCATTAAATCAAATTGCATTAACTCAAAGCTATCTACAGCTCCAAGGCACAGGAATATAAGACTTTTCATATAATGAAATCTCATTACATTGAAATTGTCAGTATTTTTAACTCAACCCTATTTTCCCATGCACCCTCCACTCTTTGATGTGTCTATTGTTTTCATTTTCTCTTATGATTCCTTTGAATAGGACAACAGATAATTAAAATAAATATGATGGCTCTACACTTAACACAACATGCCATTACAACCTTGCATTAACATCCTTTTACTGATGGTGTGTTTTCACCATTCTGAATGGGACATGAAAAGACATCTTGACAATACACACAAAAGCAATGAATTTCCTTTTGTGTAATTTGTAGCAAAACTTTCCAGGAAGAATCTTNCTATATTTCAGCCACTGAACCGTGCAACTCCCCAACTCTCGAATTACCAGAACTTTGGGTAACAGCCTTTAAACAACTAAATCCACGATGTTGAAGTCTTTGCTACTCGGATGTCTTTTTGACATATCTTATACTTTATGCATGTTCTGGGCTCTTTTACGGCCTTATTCTTCCTAAAACATGCTTAAGTAAAACTGTTTTCGTTCCACGCGCTATGATGCATAAAATGATTTTTAAATAACATTCAAAAATGAAAAAATCAGTTAATTCGACGGAAATATTGTTCGATAATTTCGAAAATCCGAAATTTGTGAAACTGTTGGATAAGTGTTCGAAAATCTTAAGCTGATGTATTCGATAGACCGCCTGAAGACGGTAGTTATATACTACTGAAAGTGCTAGCGGACGAGTTCATTTTCTAAAGTCGGACGAGTTCATTCTCCAAGATGCCACTCCTGTAACGCCACAACACGTAAGTGTTATAATCATATAATGACGAGCCTTTTATATGCCATAAATGTAGAACCACAAGTAGCTGAATGTGAAACCATATAATTTTCAAAAAACAGAATTTGAAAACTGGACCAACCAATCTTGGAGTTAGATAGGTGAAATCCAAGACCAGATATGGAAACTTTAGGGGTAGGAGGCCTTGATTAACTATAAATGAACTTCTAATGCAATCTGGATACAAAAACAAAAACTGCACACACATAAACTGGAACTGTAATACTCAAAGAAATAATGCCTAAACACAATTTCCAGCAAACAAATAAAAAATTTTTACTGGTCAAATATTTTCAGCCACAGTTTATCAGTCCTCGTCAGGAACGAATACAAAAAACAGTTCTATCAATCAAATATTGCTGTGTTCTAAATTTTTAAACCTTTCAAAAACATGTTCAAACAAGGCTGTGATGAACAGTTTACATCATACATAAAATGAGCAAATTTTTTTACAATGTGTAATGTTAAAAATAAAATTATTAATAAAATTAAATTTTAAAATGAAATTATACATAGAGCCTTTGACCAACATGACATAAGATCATTGGAGGCCTTAGAAATTTACAGAGCTGACCAGATCGGAAATTGCATCAACACAGATTGCATTTCAGTACCACAAGCCTGGAAATATTACTTAGACTGCCATAAAATTTCAGTTTAATAATAATTCCATTTTTAACATTATACATTGTAAAAAAAAAATGACTCATTTCATTTATGATGTAAACTGTATGTCACAGTCTCATTTCAATCATAAATGAAATGAGTCATTTTTTTTACAATATATAATGTTAAATAAAATAAACACCTTTTTCTATTCCAGCACAACGTTTAATAGGTTCAAATTTGAACTGAAGAAGATCGCTTAAAATGGTCAAAACGTTTTTAACATATTAAACGTTGTGCTGGAATAGAAAAAAATGTTTATTTTATTTAACATTATATACAGTAGAGTGTCGATTTTCCGAATCAATTGGGGACTGTGGTTGTTTGTATAACTGAAATTTCGGATAACCGATTTATGTACGAAAAAATAGTTAACGTATCTGATGTTGAAATTTTTCTCCGTTGCGTGTCGCTTTGCGTTGAATTTTCGTCGATGTTAAGCCTAACGAAGACTATTGTATCGTTAAAAATTATTTTTTTATTTTGTACAAACAAAAAAATATATTGAAAAATATAAAAACAATAAAAAATTATACTTCAGATGTTAATTTAGTATCAAAAACGTAAAATATTTGAGTAGCCCAAGACATAAGCCAAAGATTGCAG